AGGGAAAATGAAGAAGACAGAAAGGAGGGAAACTCTCCAATGTGAAAACCAGTCCTCCCTGGATATCCATACCTATCTATTTCTGCAGAATTTATTCCAGAATTTGATGTACTCTCTGACACTGAACCCTGACTATCCTTCTTGGTAGGTTCTAATCCATTCTTTATATCGTCAAAATTTTCATATTTGAGAGCTTGGACCAGTTGTAATAGGTACATCAATAAATCCTGGAAAATAAAGAAATGAGATATTAAAAAAACAAATGCAATATGGTTACAGACATAACTTATTCCTAAATATTATGCTAACAATTCACTTTCTCTACCACTTATCAGCTGTGTTTCCTTTGTCAGATCACTAGGATATCTAATCTTGTGGTGTTTCACTGGATCTTCATCTATAGATGGACATATCATACAAGCCTTAGAAATGAGGTATGAGGATTAAATCAATTAATAGAAGAAAGTCACAGACTAGTGCCTGGCACAGAGTAAGTGGCCAGTAAATTCCTTGTTTAAAGTAGTATCCAAAAAGCAAAGCAAACACCAAAACAAACAAATTTTGCCCCACATAATTTTTTCTCATAACTATCAAGTGACACAAGCAACTATTATCACTTGATAGAAAGGAAATGAGGTGAGAATAATACAGTATATAGTGTTCCCAAAGACACACACATATATATATAGGCATATAGAGTCAGAGAAAAGATAAAATTCAGATCTTAATATACATCTAATGAACCAATAGTTTTTTTAGCTGAGTATACATAATTCAGTACTGAAGTAAGGGTCAGAGAAAGGGAAATCATGAGCTAACTTAACCACCATAGTATTTTTGCTATATTTTTGAAATTTCAAAAAAAAAAACCCAAAAATCCTAAAAATTAATCGTTGAACCACACTTAGCAGTTTAGAATGCATGTAATGTTTCTATTATTCTCTATACCTCATAACAAAAATTATAAATGGTCTAGAAAGAGCTCAGTATCTACATGAACACTGATAACTCTAGACACAAACACTTAGCCTCTAAGTTTGAGGGAACAAAAGCCAGACAATCAGAAATAATTATTTACAACTTTTTATTTAGGTATGAACTCACACTGAGGGATTGTGTTGACTACACCATAGAGGCCTTTATCTAAACGTTATGACTCATGTCAAATGTAAAGAATTAATGACTTGAGTGAAATTTCTAATGAATTTAAAAATAAGTATTTTGATATTTCAAATAAATATGTAATAATTTTTTTACTTGCAATACAGTAAAGACCATCAGGAAGGAGCAGATAAAATGCCAAATCACAAAGC